AGAAGTTGACTGAATATTACTCACCTGGGTCCAATCCTGCTTTAGCACTATAATAAGCATTAGAAATGTGTACAGCTGAACATATCAGACAACAGGGCACAACGCCAACTCTCAGCAATTTCCAAGGTAATTTGTAAGCATTCAGCATGTGTGCATTGGTGAGTAACAATGAAGGGATTCACCTCATCTACCTTTATGCCATGTAACATTTGGGTCTCAGTAGGTCACTGGTGTTGCCTCTGTACTCAGCAGAGAGGACAATCCAACTCATCCTTACAGCTGTCAGGAGGAAATCTTCCTCTTTGAGACTCATCAGTCTCTGCCAACCACTGGCCTTGAATGATACAACTCAAGCATTACATTTAGATGAGGTGAGATCTGGCCAAAAACTAAGTGCTCTGAGTCCAGGCACCTATTTGATTGAAAGTGCTAAGGAGGTATCTTACTTACACCTAATACAGTGTGGTTCTGAAAAGCTTTCATATTGATGGAGTTCTTACAGTGAGGTGACGGTGTGCATAACATTTGCAGGCTGGTAATTGCATTCCAGTTCTGCGGCAGAAGTTTCTTTGTGAGTTGGATTTAAAATTTGGTGTATTATGCAAGCCCCAGACTAACCCGATTTCACTTCTTAGAAGCTGGCCCTGCTTGAAGCAGGGGTTTGGACTGGATGACCTCCAGAAGTCCTTTTCAATCCAAAGTACTTAATAGCTCTCTGTGCTTGTACATCTGTGGCACTAAACCTCTAGCTCCTCTGCTTTTCTTTCCAAATGTATGCATTACAAATACCTGTTCAGTCTTCAGAAGTCCCTTGTGAATTATGCATGTTAAGAATCCCATGCAGTCTCACAGAACGACATTCTTAAATCAATTTTTAACTTTTTCACCCGTCACTTCAAAAAACAGCCGACGTGTTACTTATGTTCTATTTCCTGATCTCATTGACTCCTCTTTTTCTCTGCAGCAGCTCACTGAGACCTGCGATGCGACTGATGCGACAGAATCTAAACCGCGTCGAGAGCAAGGGCTGTCCCATGCCATACTCATGAGTCAGACCCTGGAGTGCCGAAGGGCCAGCCAGGAAGACATGGCCCTGGAAGACACAGCCTCTCAGCAAAGCCTGTCTGAGGAGCAGTAAGGATTATTGGTAGTGCAAGGGCCACACAGTTCTCAAAATTCAAGACAGAGTTAAGTCAGGGAGCTGCAGGTGGGTTTATGTTCTTTCAGATTTAACACATAACCTCCAAACGTTTATTTTTCTAACTTTTAAGCAGGAATATGACAGGTCACATGTTCTTCAGCTGAAGGCCTTTGGCATGGGTAGGGTTGGAAGGTGTTCTAAAAATCATGGTGCCACTTCATCTCAGGTTCTTGTAAATCCTAGAACAATGAACACAACCTGTGTGACATTCCTCTTCCCATGCAGAGGCACTGACCCAGTAATGGTGACAAAACAAAGTGTAACAGGTGAATGAATGAATGAATACAATAGGAGATACTAACACAACTTAGTGAAAAGCACATCTTTCCTGCCATAGCTAGACAGCTGATTGCATGCAAACTAATTGGCATTTGATATATAATGTATAACAAAAGACAACTTTGAAGAAAAGCAGTGAACATCTACAAGGACAGTACAACATGTGCTGGAACATTAGAGATAAATCTGATTTGATTTTTCTTTCCCAACAGCAAATCTCTTTATTTTCCTCCAACATGTTATACAGGTGGTAATTATGAATAGCAACATAGCATCACGCAGACTGATACACTGCATGCAGCTATACTGAAACTTTGTGTGAACGAACCTTGCTAAACACATTATAAAAGTCAAGCGCAAGAAAGAAAGTAGCCAGTGCATGGAAAGCCTTCACAAAGCATCTGGTGCACCTTATTTGCAAAGAAAGCAGCTCTCTATTAACAGCTGCTCTTAGGTATAATCTCATGCTCCTGTTTGGTTTACAACAGTGTTTCTCAAACTGCAGGCAACTAGTCCTCCTGGGAGATGCAAAAGGGCCCAGGAGAGTTCTCCCCGAGGACAACAAAGTGCAAAGCAGGCTGTAATTACTGTCTGCGTTTGTATTGGGCAGGGAACAGCTCATTGCCTTTAATTGCTGGACACAGCTCAGTGTCCATAAACACGTGTAGCCAGTAATTACACAGAACTCCAATTTCCCTCCCTCAGAGAAACTGAGCTGCTGCCAGTTTAACAGTTGCATAAAGACAGATGAAGCAAGAAGAGAAACAGTGCTTTCACAAAGTTTGAGAAACACTGATTTACAGGAATGCATGACTGTTTTGGAAGCCAAAAGGCTACAACAAATCCTTAATGTAATATAGGGCATAAACACATGCGTGTTTTTGTTGTTTTTTTTTTTTAATTAAAAAATTTGCAGCTATCTGTGTTTTGCTGTCCCTCTTCACTGTAACTACCACGGACTGTTTCTAATTCTCCTTATGATAATGTGCAGCCAGGCTGCCCCAGTTAACAAGGAATCTTTAACAAGAGATGCCCCAGCTAAGAGTTATTGGCATTAGATGATACACTGTTGCATTCCGAGCTTCCTAGCGTGCCACACTTGAGATGACAAGTAGTAGAACCAAATAACAGCAAGTGAAAAATAAAACCATCCAAATATGCTTTGTGTGGCAGCAGTTTTCCAGTTTCCTCTTTTATTTTGAATTCTTTTCACTTTCTACTTGTTATGTAATAGAGAAATCTATTTTCTTTCACATAGATCTTGACAAATTCGTTCTTTATAATGCTCAGCATAATCTAGGCAACATTCTGCTCGCATTTACAGGTGCAAAAGCAGACTGATACCATGTATTCCCTGAGACACACAGCCATCAGTGTAGCTCAGGCCTTTCTGCTGCCTCCTGCAGCCTCCACATGTGATGTGGAAGAAGAAGCTGAATACAGCAGCTCCTTTCTGACCACTTCTGGCAGACACGACTTCTCCCACCACCCTGCTGGCAGCGTGCTTGGCACTAATTACACAGGACAAAGAAGTTATGGGTGTAGGTGGGGGGCTCTCAGTTGCAGGCACTGGCCCTACTTCTGCTTTGGGGGCTTTGCAATCTTCTAGGATAAACCACCAACACTTGTCTTCCTAGGCTATTATGCACAGAAGTGGGGCAAACAGCTGCAGAAAGCACTAAGCTTTCCCAGGTTAGCCTCACCCAGGCCTGTGATTGTCAAATCTCAAACTAAAACTTGAATTAACTTCTATCAAAAACAATCTTTTGGTCTCAACCAACCAAAATTATTCTGTGCATCCACTTAGAGCAAACTAAACAATGCCGAGAAACAGCTGCACAAACTCTTCTTATGGCTGCAATCACTTGACACCAGCGGTGACACGTTCCACCATCACCACTTCTTCAAGAGACTCACCCATCTCCATGGCCTCTCTGCACCCTAGGAAACACAACCACCTTGCAGTTCCTGTCTGAGGTAAATCCACCAGGGCCTGGAGGTCACGAGGTACAGTGAGGCTCAGGCTCCTGCTGTGTGGGGCAGCTGCCAGAACAGGCAACTCCTAGCTTATGTGTGCAGGCACAGCACACAAGCAGGACTGGGATTCAAACAGATTCTTTTAGTATCCTAATACAGGTTTTCTTTTCTGCTAAAGGTGTTACTGTAGCACAGCGGGTTGAAAAGCAAAAGAGGTGCCATTACTAATAGCATCAATTAAGAAACAACAAACAAGAACCAAAGATGGCAGCAGAAACTCTCCTCCATGTTGCATTTCTACATGATTTTGGAGATAGCAAGGCTGATGGCACTAAGACTGCTGCTATGTGCAGTGTTTTTAAGATGTGGTCCAATCCCACAGAATTATCACACATGATGGTTAGAAATAAAACCTGCAACCAGCTACGAGGTTGTACTGACTCTAAAACACACGAGGTAGAGACAGACCCAGTTAATCATTCTACATCAATATGTGATGGAAGATAAATTTAACACATCTTTCCTTGGGAGAAACCTTTCTGTCCATAAGAGCAGTCAGTACATACAGTTCTTTCATAGAGACGGCAGCAGGGATGATGAGATGGAGCCCCCACCTGCTGCTCAGCTTGTCCTCAGATAATAGCACTGCTGCTGAAGAGAAACATGGCATATTGATGAGCCCTTCAACACGAGAGAGCAGGGAGGAGCACATCCAGCAAGTACAGCAAACTCCGAGCAGGAGGCTGACGAATGTATGGTGAAACAAGCACAAGTTTCAGCCCTTATGTGTGTGTGTTATAAAGTGTGGGACATTCATCACCTGCCCTCATTTTGGTTTCCTAAACTCTCTTTCCACTGATGGGCTCTTGTTCACATCACACAGTGAAAGCTGAATGATAAACTCCTAAGGGTGAAACATGCCCAGAACTGGCCAGAAGATGTTAGTAGCCTTTACTAAAGCCAACTGTAAGCTGCAGAACTGCTCACAGCCACCAGGAATGCCAGTAAGCCCACAGCATGGCCTTCAGCCCAGCTGGTTCCTACCACAGCAAGCAAGAAGCAAACAGTGATGGACACTACTCACAAAAGCAAGTTCATCCCAAAATACAAATGCCATAGGTCCTGTATGTCCCTCTATTTTGAAGTGTTTAAAAAGCTTTTATATATGTATACATACACACATGTACAAGTAAGGAACTCAAGCTGCCACTGAAAAGTCTCACCTCGTTTCTGCACACAGACAATTTTGACATTCATGGCATTTAAGACAAACATTATCAAAAGCACTTACCTACCACTGGGATTCTTTATCCCTTGCTAAGATGGACAGGTACTCTCAGTCTAAAACTCTGAAGTTCTTGGAGTCTCTGCAATGCTACTTGCATTTTTAAAGAGCTACTGGTAGCATTTGGTTCCAACCCAAGTGACTGCACTTCTCCTGCTGGGGAATTTAAGTTAAAGATTAGCTGCATTCTATGCAGCTCATAGAAGATTAGAATTATCAGTGAAATCCTTCAGCACGTACTAAGCATCATCTCATCAATTTTTTTTTTTTTTTTTTAAACTACCCAATTATTGCCATTTTTAGATTGCTCCCTGGACCGGGAGCTGGTATTTACAGCATTTCACTACTGCTTGTACAACCTGAAATCTGCAAGACAGACATATTACTTATAATTAACTTTGCAGTAGGTTCAGTGTTAAAGATTCACCTCTCATTCAGCCTTCTCAGAGTATGACAAGTCAAAAATGGTCTAATGCATGATAAATAATACAGGCCCTGTTTATTCCATGCTGCGTGCTATTTATGTTGGATTACAAGCCGCCTTGCCAAAAATGTCCTCAATTCTCAGGCTTTGAGAAAATAATTGGTACCTCACAGTCCCCTCTTTTTTGCACCAATTAAAACCTGCAGGTGCACTAATGCTGTCATCTGGAATCTTGCTGTTACATCAGAGGTTATTTTCACCAAATGTGTGCTATTAGTAAAATTAGCCCATCAGGGGAACGGTGAATGCTGTTTGTTGCTACAGTTCTGTCAAGGCTTTCCAAATATTTTACTAATGTGAGACCAGAGAATACATTTTTTTTTTTTTTACCTCTGAAGTAAACACTGTGTGCCATAAAAGCTAACTTCAGTTGTTAATACTGCTTTCTCAGTGCATATTTGGGACAGGCAAATCATTTCTTTAGGACTGTCTCAGAATACAAAAGCCAGAAATGACTGTTGAAACCATTTAGGATCTCCTGCTGAACACAGATCACAGAATTTCTCTTTATTTCTCTTAAAAGCACTGTGTAGATCAGAAAATGAATTTAAAGAACAGCAACAACAACAAAAAACTCACCAATCTAGAGCCAGGCAACAGAAAGCAAGAGCCACTGATGTCAGTGGCAAAAAATACCCTCTGGTTTAAAAGGCTGATGTTTCATTCACAGCTGAGAAAGAAAAATTCACCTCCATTTTGGATAAGTTGTTCCAGTGACTAACTCCCCTTGCTACACAAGGTCCCATCAGCACACTGCTCAAAACTTAGCAGAGCTGAAGATTCTTTTGGTAACTATTTAATCATTGAAAGAAATATTATCCTGCAGTGTATTTTATAGCTTAACTTATTCCACTGAAATTCCACTGTTCAGCATGTAAGAGCAGAGAGGCTTATGCTCCAAAGTCTATGGCACACAGACCTAAGAAAGTGCTTTGGTCTTTAGTCATTCACCATCTAACCATCTAACAAAGTGCCTTAAGAATGCTCTGGATTTAAAATTAACAAACAGACAACAAAAAGCACCAAGCAACCACTACAGGAGTTCCCAGGATCCATAGTTTAGATACCTGCATTTCAGAAATTAAATTTAGATTATGGCTTCCATATAAGTCTCCATTCTGAATGAAGTTCTTGTTCCCTTCCAGTAAGTCCATTTCAAATATACTGGTATGTTAAAAGTCACAGTTGCCAGTATCCTCTCCTTGTTCAGCAAATTAAAGCAAGGGCATGAAAGAATTAATAATTTTATGTCATCAAAAATTGTGGGCTGGGTAGATTTTTATTCCAAAGAGTCTCCAACATTATACTGTGTTCCGTAAATAACAGAGTGAAGCAGGAGCAGCAGCCACTGCTACCAAAGGCAATGAATGGTAAATGCTGGGGCAGGAGCTAGACATATTTCATTCACAACAGTTCCATTTCTTGTTGCAAGTCCCGTACAGGCAGAATTTGGAGTCCTTCATCCTTCTTGTCTGACAACAGCCTGTACTAATGAGGGGATTATGAATACCTTAAGGACACAGCTTTTTATTGTGAAAAGCAGGCCAGAGCTGTATATTCCTAAAGAGGGGATCTCTGAATTCTCTTTTCCCCAGACGTGAAAGCTGTACTGTTATCCAAATTAATGTGGCCAGAATGGAGCTGCCAGGGAACAGGGCCATTGTGTCCTTTAACCCTCCTCCCATCCAAGGAGGGACAATGTCAAAACCAGACTGTTATCCAAATGCAGGGATTGTCTTTTCTCTTTCCTGTAAGCTCCCAGCACCAGGGCACCTGTAAAAAAAAAATGCTTGTTCCCATCCACCTACATAGAACTACTGGTGTCAGTTTACACAGAAACAAGTAACAAGAATGATGCTTGAAAATGCCTTTAGTGTGCTCACTTTAACAGTTGTTGAACTGAACAGAAAAGTTAAGAAGCAACTGAAGCCTTAACTTACAGCCAAAGATGACTATAAATCATACAGTGAACAAGTGTGCACCTGGGAGGGAATTCTGTTTTAACAACATGCAAAATTGATTAAGTGGTTGCACTTTCCCTGAATACATTTGCAAACCTCAGAGGAAAAAAATACATTGTCTAATACTCTCACACTCCTTATATCACCACTAACCATTACGTGTGTACAGAATCGAGTACAGAAAAAAAATTAAATAAGCAAAAAAAAAAAAAAAAAAAGAGTATCAGTAAATACAGTGGCTTGAAAATCCCCATACAGAGACACATGCAGTTTTAAGTCGATCCTGACCTAATAAACTTCACATGGAAAATATGTCAAAACTTGACTCAGCCTCGTGAAGCTAAAAGGGTTATGTTCTGTTACACCAAGGCCACAAGTTCTGGTTCCTCAATGCACATTATTGTGTGGGAATTACAGACCATGAATTGTCCTCCAGACAGAAATGTCCTCAACATTCTGAAAGACAAAGATCTCAAAGACATTTGGCAGCTAATTGCTTTTACAAGGTGAAACAGGATCAGAGTCAGACCATCTACCTTTTTCAAATACCCAGGTTGGAGTTTCACATTAACTACAGATCTATCGAATTTTTAAATGGATCAGCTTGTGAATGGGATAAACAAGAATCCTTCTATCTTAATTTTCATATTGTAGAGTAATAGCAGCTTTACCTTGCTTACCCAGGAAGCTCTAATAACCCTTCAGGGGCTAACATAGGAAGGACAGACCAGAACATCCACAAGTTTGATGTTTTATAAAAATAAAAGCTTTAGTAATAAAGTAATAAAAGCTTTACAAGCAAGAAAAGGTCTTCATTGTCTGCATGACTCCACAGCTGCCAAGATGTCCTGCAAGATGTTGTTCCTGTTTTCCTTACTGACCTAGAAAAAGAGAAATTAAAACAGATGTAATTGGATGAGTAACCTCCATATCATGGTTTACTTCAAAAACAAAGCAGAAATTCAAATGCATTTCATTCTTGGTGGGGGAATGCTGAGTGTCAAACACTTGCCTACTTGTGCTACCAACAACACATGAAACTAAACCCACAAAACTGCATATGATTTAATTACTCGTGGATACGCATTGCTTGGATACCCAGGGCTTGAATAACTAACAGGAATTGCTCAAAAAACCATCAAGTACTTCTGCCATTACTAGAAATCCCTTCCAATTACTAAACCTCATTTTTCTACAATAAAGTGGAGGTCTTACACCTTCAGCCCTTGAAAAGACTGCATTTAAATCGATGATAGGCCAAGTAAAAAGCATCATCAATGAAAAAATTAGAACTGGCTTAACAACAGTACAACTGTGCAGTGAGAAGCCTTAGCACTGCAGGACAGAAACACCTTGAAAGAGAAATAAAACTACGGGATAAAAGCTGGGGAACTTTTATAGTGCACTGAGGTATGTCCTTTGTTTACCAGTTCTTAGAAATGTTGGACTGTAACACCAGCCCAGGTGAAAATCCATACAGTCCAGCATCCCGTCTACTGCCAGGTCCACCTGTGTTGCAGCATCTGCAGACTACTAGAAACTGCCAAGGCAATGTTACCACTTCCTGGCCAGCTCAGCCCCTGGGTAAGGCAGTGACACAGTACAGAACTGTGGGGCTGGGGGGTTACAAATTCTCCCCTCTTGAAGACAGTCACCTGTATTATGTACATGACCACAGCATTACTAACTCAGCCATCACATGGGGAAAGAGCAGAGTGAAAGGTGAAAGGGTGTGAAAGTGAATGGGGAAAGGGCTAAAAAATTGCTAAGTGTCAGTAAAAGCTTCATTTAAAAAGCTTAAGGAAATTGCTGCAGTGCTCAGATCTCTGCAGAAAGGACAGGGAGAAATCACACAAAGACAGATGAGACAGAAAAAGAAAAAATTAGGGCACTCATATTTATTAACAAAGTTTGAAGAGAAAGAAAAGATACCACAGTATGCATGACATAAAGCTCTCCACCAGCAAGATTTTGTTGCATTCCCTGTAGCTACACTTAAGATCTGAGCACACGGATTTGCATTTCTTCCAGCCAGTATAGACCGTAGTCAGTACTGAACAGAAAGTCTATTATTGTCACCATCATCATCAACAAACTAGCGACAGCCCTACCTAAAAAATTCAACCTAGGCATCCATTGCTATTCGTCACAGACATCCTATCCAAATGTTGGAAAACAACATTGTAAACCTTGAGACAGTGGTCTCACCTATGACACTTGAATTCAAGAGAACAGATCAACGTGAGACTGAAGAAAAAGTGATTTAAAAAGAAAAAAAGAGGAAAGGGCAGGAAGATCTCCCTGAAAGTGTTGCTGTTTTTATTGAGCATCATTCCAAGACTATTATTAGATAAAAAGAAAGCCCCACAATAGCAAAGAGCAAGACAATAAAGAATGGAATTGCTCTTCAGTAAGACTATTGAGGTACCCTGAGGTAAACAAGGCACAGAGCATAGATGAGCCAAGCTCTAAATCTCACAGCAAGTGTCCTGACATCCTGACTTTCAAAGGACCTTCTGAACATTTAATAGCTCTTCCCACTGTCTCAGAGCCAACAAAAACAATACTCCATTTTATCTGTCCTCTTCCATACCTACATGCCAGAAGTCCAGTGAGAGCATCAGAGAGAAAGTGCCAAGTACTGGGAAATTCTCACAACCATTTTGCAAAGGCTGCTTGATAGATATCAGCCTCCTCCTAAGGTCTGGAGACATTCTGCACAGGCAGCTTTCCCAGACAGAATAAATCTCCCAGTACCTGTACTGAATATACAAAGAGATGGGAAGATTTTTAGGGAGTAAAGGCAACTGTAGATGCTGCTTTTTACTAAGCACTTAGATAATTTTGAATAAATGATCACTGGATAGTGATAGAACAGGAGGGAGTGATTTCAAACTGAGACAGGAGAGGTTTAGGTTAGATATTAGGAGGAAGTTTTTCACACAGAGGGTGGTGATGCACTGGAACAGGTTGCCCAAGGAGGTTGTGGATGCCCCATCCCTGGAGGCATTCAAGGCCAGGCTGGATGTGGTTCTGGGCGGCCTGGTCTGGTGGTTGGTGACCTGCACATAGCAGGGGGTTGAAACTAGGTGATCATTGTGGTCCTTTTCAACCCAGGACATTCTGTGATTCTATGATCACCTAAACTCCAAGGATGCAAGAGCTGAGGACAGAAGCTTCCTTTCCCTAACTATTTGGGTATTGTCGAGGGAACAGAATTTGTAGTTTGTTCAACCAGAACCGCTTCTTCTTATCCATTTAACTAACTGCTTTCTTAAAAGGCAGAAACAACCAAACTTCACTAAGGGGCTTTACAAATGCAAAATTAATAGAAAGGAAAATGGGAGAAAATGAAGGCATGCCAGCTGCTAGGGATAAAGCAATTCTAGTTATGACACCATGTCTGCAAAACTCCACAGATCTGGGCACTGCAAAAAGAACCTTTCTACTTTCACTGGAAAGCTGAGTTCTCAGCAAAATGGGATTGGGCAACAATGGAAAAAAATGTGTTAAATATCAGAGCTCCTATCGTTAAGTGCTCTGAATGTAATAAATTAAACATTTGGATCCAAATCCCAACTACTTTTAGGGCATCTGGGCCCATTTAAAGCAACTAAATATGCTTTCAAGACAGAAGGGACTGTAAAACCCACAACAGCTGTGTCTATGCCCCTAACATCAAATATCAGAACCATCCTTGTGACAATAAAAGAAGGATCAGAAAGCTCTGCTGAGTTACTTCAATGCAACCTAACTCCATGTTAAGTGACAAAGCAGACAGAATTTTTTGGAAGGTAGCCACATATGTCTGCACACTTTCAGGCATCATAAAAGCCAGCAAGAAAAAGCTAACCACAAGTAATTTGGGCACTCCGGGTTCTCTGCATGCCACAGCCCTTCAAGAAAGTAGCTGGTGATTTAGTGTTTACTCCAGCCAGTAACACAGTGAGTCACCAGCAGCAGGTTCTGTTCCTGTTCATGTGCTCATTTTAACCAGCTGAGGAAGAGCATGCAGTGTGTCACTGGAGTGAGACAGATGCTCTCCTGCACAGCAGATCACTTGTCACCTGGATACTCTTGCAGTCTGTCACACATTTCACACTCTTGCTTTTGGTTAAATGATCCAACAGAGAAATCTGCATTTAAACAAAGAAACCTGCACATTATAATCTCAGCAGCATAAACAGGATGGCTCATTTTTAGTAAAGGTTTTTTTCAGATAGAGAAAACATTTCTCTATTGAAATGTACAGGTCATAACATTTGAAAACACAATATATTGGCATGATACACCTAATAACCTGGGGTTGAATGGCAGAAGTCTCTAGAATGTCATCTGATAGAATGAGGCAGTGGAAGGCTTGAAATGTCCTTGAAAAGCCAAATACTGTTTTCCAGCACCATTTCTGAGAGAAGGAAACACATATTGTTGCCTTGCCATGACTGCATCCTAAGCAGTAAGTGACTGTTGCTTTCTCCATTCCCTCTCCTCCTAGTTCTACCACCATAAAGCAGTCACGTGGAATTCACATTCACACACATCCCTGTTCAGCAGCTCAACAAACAACACACGTTGGCTTCTCAGTGGGAAATGTGGGTTTTAATCTCTGAGGGGAAAGGTAGGAGTTGAATGTTTATGAGGGGAAAGAAATCTTTTCTTGCTTTTGCTGCTAGAGCTGCTTCAGCACCCAAAAAGGCCTTTAATTTCAGAAACAGAAAATAAAGACGATGATGGGACCACTGAGCAAAAGAAAGCTGAGGTCTGTTTCCAAGCACTGCACTTCTGTTCCCGCTTTGAAGAGGAAAAAAAGATGGAGGCTTTGCTTTCTCTACAGTAATTAAGACCACTCTTAAGGTTAAGATTTTTTCTCCTTCTTCATTCATTTGCATTACAAGAAAGGACCAATCGTCACTGGATCTGCTTCCACTCAAGAGCAGGCTGCAGTACCATACTGCTTTACAGCCTATTACCTCTGCCAGTAAGCCAGAACCTGCAAGTCTCAGTTACTGTATTTGTAACTTATGGATATTTGCAGTTCAGTTTCAGATATACAGCTTTATTCTCTACTAGAAATAATAACACTGAGCAGAAAAATAACGGAAAGGAGAGGGGGTTGCATTTAGCTCGTTTTCGTAAAGTATCCAGGGCACTTACAGATCCTAAAGAAACCTCTCACGTTTCCCAGTGAACAGGCAGTTCTATTGTGGTAAGTTTTTGAGAATTTCTCTGTAACCGATCAGAAAAATCACACTGAGGCCTTTATGTCCTGAATATTATGTCTGTAAAACAACATAATGAATTCCAAAGTTGTTTCACTGACTGCAGAGAAAGCACACTCCATTTTACAAGTGTCTTTCTTTAACAAATTTTTTCTGCAAACTCTACTGCTGCTTTTTTTCCCCCCTTGAATATGATTACTGGTAATATTTCTGCAAGCCAGCCTGCAAAAAAATAAAAAGAAATCTGACTGTACTTTAAAAGATTTAACTCTTAGGAATAAGGAATACTTAAGTGGCAATAATACTACAGTAAGAAAACTTTTAAAAACAACGACATCATTACTTCTACAGCCTCTCAAAAGCAAAGCCAGCTGTGTGAAGCTGTGTTTTTCTTTTTTTTTTAATAAGGTGAACACCTGCCCATTAAGAACCAAATGGAAACTAAAAGGCTTATTTCATAGAAGCTCTCCACTGCTACCAAATGGTAGCAACAATCAGTTTTTAAACAGAGCCAAATACAAACCCACAACCCAGAACAGAAGGCTCTTTAAGGTATTTAATATTACTCACAGTGAACACTTCAACATCTCTCCTACTTCTTATTTCTTCAACAAGATCCAGTGGCTTTCCCTTAGGTATTGGAATAGTTCCAAGTACCACGGTCCCAGAGCCAGCCAGCATTTGACGAACAGCTTGAATAAAAGCCTGACTGAAGAGTTCCATTTTACCAATCTCATCTATGACACAAATCTTTTTCTCTGCATCACTGCCCTGGTTTACCTGTGGAAAAGTGCATGAGGAGATTGTAAACATCACGGAACTTCGAACAAGCAACAGAAATAACTGCCATGCTAATAAAAAGTACCTCTAAAATAAATCCATTGTAATACTGGGGAAAACTGAAAAGTCAGAAGTGCTGCTGCTGGTAGCTGACCAACTTTAAATCTGTCATTTATATTTCAGCAAAGACTGGTGGAAAAATAGGAATACATGTATGGCATAAATACCAGCTATGATGATTGGAAATATTCAGAATATCATTTTTCATTCAGAGCAGAATTCTCCAGCTATTTGACAATAAAGAACTGCTCTCATTAAGTCTGAAGGACCCAAACGTTTCAAAACATTGAATTCTGCATTTAGAATAAATCAATATCAACACAACATAATGATTAAGAATGGCTTGCATTACATATTGGAAGCCTGTAACTACAGAATGCCTTTCAAAAACAATTTTAAACTTAGAAGATTCCTCACTATTTTAGCAAAAAAAAACAACCAAACAAGCGAACAAACACATCAGATGTTTACACCCTTGTCTACAGCTTCCAAACTTTAAGTAAGATTTCAGATAATATGAAGGTTATTTTTTCATTATCAGCTGATACAGGAGCAGTTTTGTCTGTGTCAGCTGAGCCCTCAGTGCTGCAAACTGAGACATGCACAGGAGTGAGCAGACTTGGACGGGTCTCAGGGTCTTCACCTCTGGCTCCAGTATTTGTTACTGATCATGATAAAACTTTGAAAGGTCAATGCAGTTTGTCCAAAGTAAAATAGGAAGGCGGGAGTCAAACTGTAAACAAAAATGTGCTGATCTCTCCAGAAATAAGAACGCTGTTCTCCTTCACACTACGCCTTCTGTTTCTGCCTGATCTACTGCTTTGGCATAAGCTCTTGCCACAAAATTGACTTGATCATCAGATTTGTGATCAGAACCTGCCATCACAGCAAGCGATGCAGAAGCACATTGTGATAGCATCTCTGGAATTGAAAACAAACAAAAAACACCAAATGAAAACCAAAATGAAAGAGTGCTAAGATGGCAAAAACCAGCACTTCTCTCAAAACAAGCAACTTTCTCCAAAGTTATCTGTATAAACAATCACGCCATTGCCAGCTTTTTCTCCTCTCTCATGTCAGAACAATCTTCTTCCATTTCTTTCTCATTATATAGCGTGATAGAAAGAGAGTGCTCCGGCTGTCCTCTCCTGGTGAAGTTAACCAAAAATTACTCTCTGCTAGTTGCAGATGTGAGGAATGAATCAACCTCAACTCAAACTCACTTCTGTAGAACCATGAACATGCACCAACAGCAGCCATGCTACACAGAACCTAAAGAAAAAAGAAATCTAAATATTTTTCCCTGTGAAGACCAAGTATTTATTTCCAGTGAAGTGGAAGAACTGTTCAACATGGATCCTAAAACGTTTTCAAGTCAAGTCTCTCCTGAATAGCTGTTTTATTTAAAATCTCTTCACAGATCTCCCTTGTCCCTGACATCTTTATTTCCATCCTTTCAGACTTCAACATTCCTTGACAAAAAGATGAAACTGATCCTCTGTCTTGTTTTCACTCCTCACATCCCTTTGGTTTTGGTTTTTGTTGCTCTAAGTTCATTAAAAAGTCCCTTCTTCACGGACCCCCTGAGCTTCAGTAGCATAGAAAAATCACAAGATTATTTTTAGCAGTATTGTTCAGCAGCTAGTGCACACAGTTTATGAGATGCTATTGCCAAAGATCTGCTCTTGCTTAATTTTGAAGAGGGGGAAAGGTTGGGGTAAGAGAGAAAGGAGAAGGAAAAAGGGTGATGATCATAATATTGTTTGCATTGCTGGAAAAGAATGACCAGAGAAGGACAAGAAAAAGAGTAAGTCAGTCTTGTCACAGAGCACTCCTTGTGCAATTAAGTCTGAAATTATCATATTGCTGTATCATTTGAAACCAAGCTGTACTTACACAGTAGTAACAAAAAGTAATAACTGTATTCAAGAAACGAATAATGTTCCTACTGAAGGAATGGAATTAGAGCAAAAAGAGAGAGAAAAAAAGGATGTGAAGAGGAACAGCAACAAAGTCCTTTCTCATGGGCTCACTAACTTAAGCCACTTGTATGCAGTAAGCCACCTACTTGAACATTTTGTTTGCCTTCCACCATGCCAGGTGGTGGCATAGGAAGCAACTTCCTATCTCTCAACCCAAGGTGGGCCTGGCCACAGGACAATGTCACATAAAGGAGGAGAGGCAAAGCAATCTCACAACAGGTCTGCCCCTTCTGCTACCTAATCCTGAAGGCAATGAGAATCAGTGAAATTCAAGAATGAGAACCTTTATTAACATCAAAATTGAGTGCTGTAGAAGAGCCCTTCAATAACAATCATTATAATAAAGCATCCATTTTTTCAGCAGCTTTAGTATAATACTCACATTTCTCAGCACAGGCAGAACCAACTGCTCAAATGAAGCAACGTCTACAACGTATTGTCCTACACGACATTCACGTCTTGAAGTAGAAGAATCAGAACTGAATTTGAAAGACACACACAAATCCTTCTAAGTAATAAGTTCAGCAAGAACTTACTGCAGTCATTTCAAGTGGATTTACTAACATAATTACTCTAGTAAGTCAATTTGCTCTTAATTCTTCTAAGCAAAGAAAACGTGAAAGCAATGCATTACGTAATATTGCAGATAGCATACTTTCAGATAACAAAAATGCCATAAGCTACCTTCAGTATTATATAAGCTTAAATTCGAATGCTATGCAGAAGGACAAAAAAATATAAAAGGTATATTTTGATTTCATTGCAAATATCTCTATTACACCTGCAGTTCTTGCAGGCATAGGAACTACCTTTGAATTAGACAATGTAACACTAGACAGCATCAAAGCAACAACCCAAAGCTCAGAATAGGTTGCAGAACACTTCAATGTTCTTTGAAAAATACTCAGTTTGTATGTACAGCATCACACTATTCCGGGTGAGCCATGATTGTTACTAGTATGCAAGTTATTTGGTCAGGTCAGTTATGTCTGAATGTGATGGAAATATCACGCCTACCTAGACTAAGTTGTGCAGGAATCATTAATCTAGCCTGGTAAATTAGGAAAGTGCTCTGCACTTCTGAAACCCTATTCTGAGTGGGACTCCGAGGCTCCCTTTTTCTTCAAATTCACATGCAGGATTTGTGGGCCAGTCATTGGTTCTTTAATACAACATTAAGAGCTATTCATCTTTAATTTTCAGATTCCATACTCACAAATCAACTGGAAAAAAGAAATAATCTTCCCTCCTGACTACAGCAAGCTACACACTGTATACCAGAGAGACCTGGATTCGGGAGAAAAGCTCTATCTGGTGTAAAATATGAAGTAAAAGAGACCACTCTTCTCTAGGTCATTTTTTTTAAACTATGTGATATGGTGTCTACATAGATAATGCAGGTATCAGCCAGAAAACAAGAACTGAACAAGGAACGTGACATGAAAACCGTATCTGTGCTGGTAATCAGCTTCTGGAAGGGCATTTAACATGCTGACAGACTAGAGGAGCATCAAACAACAAGCCGCTTAAAACAATTTAAACCTCAGTACCTAACTCTAGATAAAGGACCTCGTTTTCCAGATAAAGTGACAACATCAAATCCTCTTCTTCTGCCACCTTCTTTAACTTCCTCTGTGTAAAATCCATCAACGGGAACGTCTGAGGATTTTAGTGCTTGAGTGACTTTCTGGATCAAAGTAGTCTTTCCAATCCCTAGAAACAAAGAGGAAACAAAAAGTGTGTGGCATTAATCTTTTGTAATAAAAGCCTACGTTTAAACATCACAGCAATTATGTGATTTAGCACGAACATCCATTACAAGTTTGCAATTTTTTTTTTTT